AGAGAGAGAGAGAGAGAGAGAGAGAGAAAGAGAGAGAGAGAGAGAGAGAGAGAGAGAAAGAGAGATTTGTGACCTCTGGTCACTAGTATCTGGTGATACTAGTCTCCATTTCGTCTTGTGGGATAGGGGAAAAAGTTGCTACAGAGGGGAAATGGGAGAAAATCTGGGGAATACCACCTTTGTCCACTCCCTGCACCTACAGTTCACAAGTATCTCTTAGCTTTTAGAAATCCTTATTACCAAGAATAGTGGGAGATAATTATCTTCTACATCCTTCTAACAGAATGTGTTCATGTGGACTAGGTAGAATATCAAAATGCTCTAATAATACCACGAATTTCCTGTAAGGATCTAGTTACTTAATTTAACCTCCATAATATGATAATCTGAATTTAACTTGCTCTATGAGTAAGCAGCTTTTAAAAAAAGTTTTTTTTTTTTTTAATTTTTTTTTTTTAAAGACAGAGATCTTGGGCTTCACAGTGCCCAAGAACAGGGATCACAGTGAGAACAGACTTCATATTCAAAGTGGACCACTGAACTTTTAAAATCTTTGTAAGATACTTTAGGACGTTCTGACATAAACTACTTACAAAATTCTGATACCAGTCTTTTTACTGAAAAGTTTCTAAACTTCTCCTTTGAAATATCTTCTATTAACTGTGCAGTAAGGATAAAAGGCAGGATACGAGATCAGATAAGACTGACTCACAATTTAGCCTTTAACCTAGCTTGACCTCAGAGACAATGCTAAACATATATAAATACTTGCACATATGTATGCTTGCCCTCCAACACCTGCAAAACTATGGAAAATGAAAAAAACCTGCCCCTTTTCTGCATTTAAAATTCTTAATCTATACTATCTGCATTCAAGAATGTTTTATAGACTTGATGAAATGTTTTACGAAATGTTTTATAGACTTGATGATATGGCTTTGTAGATGGATACTGATATTTTCCCATCTACAGAATCATAGCTGCCCTAGGTTACATCAGGAAAAAAAAATTATGTGCCACTTTACATGTTTGTCTCATACTACACATAGACCATCTACCTTCAGGTCATCAAATCCATTATTTTCAAATCCACACAATTATGACAAATGTCTTTACTTACTGGGTCACTTCCTTATGATATGCCTACCATTCCTCACATCTCTCATATGGCATGTAATTTGTGTCTTGAGCCTTTGTATTACCTGACAATTGTAGAGATTCAAATGTAGAACAACTCTGCTTTGACGTAGACGTCATACTTGAGTTATAAGAATTTTTGTTTTATGATTCCTGAGCACATAAACAGCAGTTAAAGAGCAAAAAGCAATTAACAGGATTAAGAGGGAAAAATACCATGTGCTGCCCGCCTCTGATCTGCCAGAGTTGCTATGTCCTGCAATTGTTTTCTTTGTTCTTCATTAAGACCCTGTGTCAAAGTCTGGTACCACACAGGGTTACGATTCTGAATTGCTGCAAGAGAAGAAATGTGTTCATTAAATATTCCGTAACTCAAAACTTGTTAAGTCACTGCCATTTTGATCAGAGTAATATTCTGATCAACCCCATCACTGTTATGTAATTTAAGAAATTTAAAAACATTAATGCAACCTCTAGCACCTCTTCCTATCTGCCAGAAATCCACTCTAGTCTCTCCCTTCATTCTAAAAACATGGTGCTCTTCTCTTTCCAAAGAGAGATCTTACTCAGATAAGATCTTTAACTGGAAAAACTAGAAAGCCTGGCTGGAAGTTTTCAACTTGCTCTAGTTTACAATAATATTCCTTCAATTGATTTTCCATGATACTAAATTTAAAATAAAGCTTTTTGAACAATAAACAGAATTACTTACTCTGAAAAATTGTTTTAAATATTTGATATTCATCTACAGGGTTGTCTTCATCATCAATAATTGTTGAATAGCCTTCCAAAGCAGTCTCTTCAGCATCATCTTCTTCCCAGTCCTCATCATCTCCATCTTCACCAGCCTGTTTTGCAAGGATCTCTAGATATTCTTGACCATCTTCATCAATGTCATCTTCATCACTCCCCAGCTCCTCTGGGTTAAATATCACAAAGAAGTTTATCACAAGAATAGTAACGGCTTTTTAGGGAGTTGCTTGATTATTCGAAACAGACAACAACATCAGACTAGAAAGGGAACAGTTCTTTTAACATCTCTCCCAGTGCTATGGTCTCCTTTAGCATTATTTATAGCAACACTAAGTGGGAACAGATTTTGTTGTCACAGAAATGTGAATAGCAAAAGACATATAATCAAATAACAAGGAAGACCACTTGATACAAACTTAAGCAAAGTATCATTTCTGCTCAAAACAAGACCTGAAATATGAAAGTACAGGGAAAGTGGTACATATTTTTGAGCTACATATTGAGATGGGAAAAAGTGTGAAAACTTGTGAAAAGATTATGGAGAAGAAACTTTGTAATAAAATTTGATGAGGTTGAGGCTAAATTAGGCCAGGAAAAAATTAGAACTGCCGATTTCAAACCACAGATAATGCCTAACAGTTCATATGATATTTTGTAATACATAGTTGAATCTCTGCAGTGGAGCAGAAGGATTCCTGGAAACTTTTTCTAATGACCCTTAGTCATCATTCAAATGCTCCATGCCCCAATAGTAATTCCTTTCAGTAAGGACAGCATCCACACATAGTGAGCTTCACAAGGCTTCAAAGAAATTCAGCCTAGAAAACTAGCTTTTACAGACCAGAAAAAAAGTCAAATAGACCTGCCAAAGACATTAAAAGGATGCTCAGAGCTAGGGCATCCTTTGGGCATTCAGGTCCTAGTTAGGAAACTGAATAGTTGTGTGAAAGAATTTCCAGATAATGGAACATATTTCAATTTTTGTACCTGTGTCCTCATCTTCTTCAGCTTCATCATCATCATCACTGTCATTTTCATGCTCTGCATGACAAGCATATGCTCTTTTCAATCCATTAAATAAGAGGATAAAAGCTGGCAGGATCTGTCCAGCAACTTGATTTAAAACCTGTGGTATTTGCTCCAGATCAATAAGAGCACACAAGCCGAGCACGCACATTTTTCTGTCATGAAGACTGCAAAACAAGATGGTTACAAGATTACATTATGATTTAAAAGGAGGTGATATAGCAGTATACCACAGAGGATAATAACCAAAATTAGAAACACTTACCCCAAGAAACAGTCTACATCATTAAGCCACTGTGTTATGAAGTGATTAGTGACAGGCTCTACATTATTGGGGAAGCGAAGATTTTCCAAGGTATTTAACAGTAGATGAGGATTGTAATACAATGCAGCTATGGCAACCTGGAGGCACATTGTTCGCAGTTCACTTGTTTTCACTTCTCTGGTCAATCTCTCTAAAGCAGCTTCCACAAATAAGGGTATGCACTGGAAGAATGAGAACCATTACAGCTTCAGTACACAAAAATCAGTCATTGGTTCTGTAGTTCTGCATTTCACTACAACTGAAAGATGGTAGATGTAAAGCCTGTAAAAAAATCCTGAAAATACTGTAATTCCACGTGTAAAAAAACCCACAATTCTGAATTCCACAAAATTAATTTAAAGTTTTAGAATTAATATGCCTCTAAGAAGTTACTCTTCCAGATTCACAAAAATACAGTAAAAGTTTTACAAAACTTAAATTCTGAAGAAAAAGTATGCAATAACCATTTCTTCAACTCTATGACTGCACAGAAGTACTTGCAACACTGAAGTAGAAGACAGGATTATCACTTAAACTGCAAAAACTTAACTGAACTTTTCAAGCTTAACACATAAGACATCTTACCAAATCAATTCAGATTTCAGAGCATGAGCTTTTTAAGACAGAGTAATCATAGTGGTTACTAACCTGATCGATACCACGCCCTTTACACTGAAGAATAATTACTTCTAAAAGTTTTGCTGCGTGGCATTCTGCATCTTCTCCAGCAACGCCTGTAAGAACCTGGAAAATAACAAATATTGTTGCTATTATCCCTGTAAGAGGCCATTTTCTGTATGCTGCATGGCTTTAAAAAACTGATGCAAGTTTCAGCCTTCTATTACACTACTACCATAAACAACCATCAGTGAAGAAGGTAAATGTACAGCCATAGCTCAGTGTCACAACTTGAGATCGAAACATTGCTCAACCTGGTTGCAGTTTATCTACCTGTGCAAGTATTAAGCAAAAGAGTAGACACAAAGCTTACACTATTTACTGTTTAAGCATTAGCTGCCATTTGTCATTTGAAAGACTTCATTTTTATACACAGAATGCAAAATCTTAAGTATTCAAACACTAAATCTTGTAAAAGCTGAACTTGCAGTAACTGCAGAATCCTGTGGACAATCACGAAGTACCCCACTTGGGTCAAAGATTCATTTTGCTCAGGTCATATTAGAACATTAACCGCTAACATGCTATTCTTTCGTTTGTTTAATAAATTTAAGTATTCAGAATGGGTCTATTCAACTTGATTGGAACTTCTTTTCAAATAAAGGCTGGCAAGAGTTATTCACAATCAAATTCAAACACCTTCAGAAATGCTATTATGAAGAGGGCAAGTGACTGACTGTTCACCATAGAGTTTTAGTACTGGCACAACTCATGACACACTGAAGTACAGAAAATGAAAACCCTACCTATTATTTTTAGAGACTGCAAAATACTAACACAACCTTATAGAGAAGTATACATATCCTCACATAGGGCTAGCATTCTAGAGAGCTTTGTCCTCTTTTTATCAACTGGAAAAAAGAAAGCTCATTTGGAAGCTACCTATAATATAAATGAACTGAGAAGCTAAGTTAAATATAGAAACACTGCCCAAAGCTGCTTCACTGAGACAGAATAATGGCATTCTGCTTCATGCTTTAGATACTGATCTGAGCCTAGGAAAATAACTCCTTACTTCTATGTCTCTACTTACCACCCCACACACTTGATTTAGAAAACAGATTAAAAACCTTTAGCATACATATATGGTGTGTGGTATCCTAGCTATTGCAAGGCTACAAATATCAGATAAAGTAGCTACCTTTTGCAATATGCATACATGTCTTTTTAACTTATAGAATCACAGAAGATAGTAAATAGAATTCAGAGCAAGCATCAAATCTCCAGTTTTACAGCCTGCTGTAAGCATCTTCAGGTAAACAATCTTACCTTTTTGCACATACTGTAGATCATTTCAAGATATTTTGTGTCTGACAGAAGTGTATCTGTATCAACAGTGACATAGTTATGCAAGAGAGGCATCATATCTGTGTTAAAAGAAAAATAATCAAAGTTAAATACTGTTTTCACATTTTATGAGGCTAGGTATTAAAGTCATGTTGAGAGTTACATATTAATAAATTAATCATAATTCTTGCTTAGTGCTCTTCAAAATAAGCATGTATCTAATCACACATGCCGGAAAAAAAAATCTGCTTGCTAGAACAGCAAAATGAAGTACAAATGCACCTTCATTTGAATATACAAATGTTTTGATAAGATGTAATTCATGTTTGAAATCAAATATATGAAGCCATTTACTCTGTATGAATGTATTTATTAGTATTCCTTACCAGTAAAATAATCAAAGCCATCCTGCTGAAAGACTTCAAAAACAAGAGGAAGAAGTTGCCACATCTGCGCAGAAACTTGTTGACAGGTCAGGCTATGAGCCAAGGAAAAGATCTCTTCATAGAACTCTGAAACATAAGAAGAATTACATTAAATTCACTGTCAATCACATACACTTAAATAACTCAACTGAAGTATACATACCTAATACATGCTGCTGCAAAACTGTTCCAATCACTTGCAAACAGATCCCTTCCAGCTGCTGAGTAATCTGAAAAATGAGATTTATGTCTGTTTTCAATACTCTGGAATTGGAATTAAAAACATTTTAAACAAAATTACTCAAAGCCATTTCTCTTTAGAAAATATTCTAGAATAATATCGAAATTCTTATATTTTAGAGCACTACATGTGTAAAAGCAGCTCTTTATTTGTAAAATAATTTCTAACATGAGGTGTTTTTAGAATACTTAAAATACTGGAAAAAAACTCATTTAGGGGTATACTTAAAGTCCAACGCTAACCTTTTACAACTCTTCAGCCCCATTAAAATAGTGAGTGAATGTGTTATGCCAGCCACATATGCAATGAAAGCTGCAGGAACTATTTTACTGCTCCAAATATCTGAGATTTCTAAACTCCATAAACCTAACTTAGACTGATTGTTCACGAACCATACAAACATTTCAAGCGCTTATCTAGTTTCAGACACATTTCCTAATGAACACTTTTTCACCTGTGGAACAGATAGCAGTCACTAACTGTATTGGTAGGGCATTCACTTGGCACACAGACAAATAAGGGTTGAATTCTGGTCTTAGCTGTGCAGAACGGGAGTTGGACAGAATGTGTCTAAATTTAGCTATTTATTGAACAATTTTTCCCAATTGAGTTCATCAAGATAAGCACATTATTGCAAAAGCTTTCTATTTAGATATAGAATTTGACAACAAAAATAAGTAGACATTTGATTTGCGAAGTAGCTTTAGCAAATGTCAGTAAGCCAAATCAGTCCTTGGTCTGTTGCATTGCAGCATTCAGTTCTGACCCGGGGCGAACAGAATTCCCGTTATTTCTTAGTCAAACCCTCAGAGCTCTGAGTAAATCAGTCAATAAAAAACTGTAATGTATCTAGCAAAAAAATAGCTGTCCTTGCCAAGAAGCCATATTTCTTTTATTTATTTTTTTCTTATCAGCTATATTCTGGCCAGAAATTACTCCGCTCAGTACAATAAAAATAATACAGTTTGCATCCTGCTAGAAAGTTTAGCAATACAGATTAGGCAGGTAAACAAAACTGTCACTTAGCATAATCGCAAGAGCTATTTTTGCAGACACCAATACTGTTAGAGGAACAAATTAGAGTCAGCAGAGTTAATACTCAAAATTAACTGAAGTTCTCTCTTTTGTTTCAAGGGCAGGCACCATCAAATCAGATTATTTGCAGAAGATCTGAGAATTCCATTTCCTAGAGAAGCTAATGAAAAGACAACTTCATCTGTTTGATAAGAACCTGTTTTTTTTTTTACAAGAAATAATGGGGCAATGTTTATGCTGTTTTTGTGAGAAATTTAATTCAGTCCATTATATCTTTGTAGCAGCATAAACACTTCCCTATTTTCAGAGATTTTTGACTGAGAACATATTTCCAGATAATGTCATGTACACAGTAACTACAAAAGACTTCAGTGTCTTAGCCAAAGTACATTGCCTTTAAGGTATTTTTTTACTCACTTCCTTGTGATCTTCTACTACACTGAGAAGTGTATCAATAGTATTCAAGATTCCCATGGCTGTCACTGCTTTGTCATCACTGCCCTCTTCATCTGGTCCAGTCTGTATCACCTGGTTAAATGTCATTGCCTAGGCATAATAGAAAACAACCCATGGGTATGTCATTCAGCAAGGATGTCCTTGAAGATGAAGGATTGCACAAGCCTGGTATTCTGCACAATCCTTATAATGAGGACCCCTTTTAAGAGAATGTGTATGAATTAGGAACTCACTGCCCCTATTCCAGGGTTTGATTTTGAACTGATAAAATTAAACCATTTATCCATATAAGAATAAGATTTGCTCTAACTATGGCTTTCCATGCAAAAAAAAATTTCTAAAAGTAAATCTTTTTGACACAAGGCTTGATAGCTGAACTACACTATTTCGCAGGCATTCCCTAAGAGTACATACAAATAATTTGGTTTTTAACTTCAAGGTATTGGCCTTTTATAAGCACAGAGACGACTCTGCTTTCTGAAATTGTTAGTTCAACTTCCTTGGCATGGATATTCAAGCTCTGGATTTCTTTTGCAATTAGACTTCAGATTACATTGAGTATCAAATAAATTTATTTTCCCATTACATTCAAGATCGCATTATTTTCATAATAAATTCATTAAAATTCTGTTATTTCATGTTCTAAAAATAAAAATAGGTTAGGTCAAATCAATGACTATCTAAAAGGTGCTACTAAAATCCTTTACTATCAGTATAGAATAAGGATTTCTTGGACATTTCTATCCTTCTTAGAAAATTCATGTTTAGTTCAAGTCATGAAGGCACCTTTGAGCAAAAAAAAAAACAAACTAGCAAAACATAGAAGAAAATTTCTAGTATTAATGCATTTTAACTGACAAGTTAATGGGTGGCTTAACAATGACTAGTACTGACTACATCAATCTCCCACATATTAGGCATCTCTCCCAGTCACCAGAAAGTCTTACCAAATGCTGTGTCATTTCTACAGCAATTGGGGTAACTTCTTCACTATATTCACAGATCATTTTCTGAATCACATTAGTTAGATCATCATTTTCAGTCTCCCTTATAATGTGAAGTAAAGCTTGCATTACAGGTCTAATGAATGGAGTAATATATTCTTTAGCTGTAAAACAAACAGAAATTTATGTATGAATTGACATCAGTATTACAATATCACAGCACCAGTACAAGATAGTCAATATAAGAATTTTGGCAACTGAGCCAAAGCATTTGTTAAAGAATTTACTCTTGCTTTGTGACATTTATGCCAGGTTCAAGAATACTAAGCAGTGTAAAGCTTGCCAAAACAACTAACTTTTTTTCCCATAAATTTGAGCATGAGTAAGTGTATGTTGAGCCAGATACACTCCTATGGCACCACTGATTCAACATTTAGGAGCTGTAAAACTAGATTTATTGTACCATAAAACCACAAATTAATTTCATTCATCTGAACCTTATAAATATTAGAAGCCACAATGACGAGAAATGAATCAACATCAGGGAACTATACAATAAACTTCCTTGGGCATAGTAATATTAATGCCTACTCCATTAAAACAATGAAACAAGTACAGTCAGTTTCCTGTAGCTTTAAGAAAAGAGGGATACCTTTCTCTTGATTACTGATCAGAACTTGAAGTGCTATGGCAGCTTCCACTTTCACAGGCATCTCCCTATCATCTATCAGACATCGTCTCGTGAGCTCTAAGGCTGTCTGAAGATTCTGGTCACTCTTAAATTTGACTTCACAAAAATAATGAAGGACCCAGCAAGCCTGAAAAAAGACACCAGTTGAATTCAGAGTTATGCAAACTACAAACTGGATGATGACTATTTATACAGTATATAAAAGCAATAGTCTAAACAATTTATTAAATTTCAACTATAAATATGATTAAATTAAGATACTGGAAGGCTTTCAACTGCTGAAGATGTCTGAGAGTTTGGAGGCTGGCCAGTGGGAAGGTTGTCTTTCAGACATCACTAGACCAGTACTATGATCTCGAGTTCATCTTTGGCCACAGGTTTTGTGTGAGCAGTACAGTCTAAATGCAAAACACAAACAGACCATACCACTAGACACAGATGGAAAGCTATGCACACAGTTCTGCAGCCATTTTAAAGCTAAACAATTGATATTTAAAAGCACGCTATATATAAAGACTAATAGTAATCACTGAAATAAGCACAAAATTACACAAGAAGTACAAATAAAAGCATTTCTCAGAGGAAAAATGATTAAGAAAATATCCCTAAACTCTTTGGTTGGAGAGACAGCGCATAATGTACATGAGGAGTACATCTTTTTCTTACCCGTGCTCTCATGTAACCCAGTTCACTGCTGAAGAGAGGGAACACATGATTCTGCAACATATATTCCATCTGATCTTTGTATATCTTTTTCTGTCAAAATATTAATACAAACACAACAGTTCATAATTTTACATACAGTACAACAAAACCCTTACATATGTTTGGAATTGGCTTTAATTCCAAGAAACACACACATGTGTTTCTTCCTCAATATTTGGACTTTTGCTTAGCAGTGTATTACTTCTAACAGCAAAATTAGTCAGGAAAACTGAGTCATGATCCAAACAACACAAATCCATGCCTTTCATCTCATTCCCTGCCATTTTATTTCAATATGGTTGCTAATTTTATTCTATTTCTCCTCTTCTATATACAGAAAATATCTCCCTAACATGGAAGCTTCTCAATGGATATTTTACTTCCACTAAAAAGAAAAAGTAGCTAAGTAGGACAGGAAACTGTGCAGCAGTTCTTATCAAAAATAGAACATAACTTAGGTGCTTCACACAAGCCACCTGAACTCAAACACGATCTGATAAAATGCATGCAATTAATCTGACAACTGATCAAAAATGAAATACAAGTTAAACGGCTAAAGAACCGTGATGTCTCTTTCTACAGTTGTAAACTCAGAGCTATTCTCATTTCTTCTAAAACATTAGGAAGAAAAAAAATATATATGTGAAAGAAAGAAAAGTACAGAAAACCAAAAGAATCACCAGGCTGATGACACTTACTTTTAGGAGAATTTCAGCCAAAGAACCAATCATATGTAAAGCACCATCCTTCTTACGAGGGTCAGCATTTGGCTCCGTAAGGATCTGATAACAAAATCCCATTGTCTTCTGCAAGACCTAGATTATGTGCAAGGACAGTGTTAGCCAAAGAATTTCAACTAATCGTCTCATGTATCATTGTCAGCATGCCAAAATTTTTAAATTGTGCAAAACGATTTCTTCCAAGTCCAGAATTTGGTCAACAATTTATATCCCTACTATAACACACAACATTGCTGATATACTGGGCTGGGAATTGGCAAATACAAATTCAAGCTCACATAAACTAGTGACAAATAAATATGAGCAAAATTATAAATTTCAGTGTAGTACAATACAGTTCAATGTAGTATAGACAGCAAAAATTTAATCAATTGCTCTTTCAGAAAAAAATGGAATATCAACTAAATTGAGGTCATATGTGTTTGATATAAGATGAAATGCTTGAAATAGCTTACCTCTTTCCTTTTACTACATGATGTAAACAATAATGTCTGAGCAGCAGTTGTTGGAGAAATGAAGTCTTCAAATACATCTATTAAATGTAACAGAAATTTTTGTCCTTTAACTCATGATGCTTAAGTCACCTAACAGTCTAATGTAGCACAAAGATGCAATAATTTTCTAGTTTGATCAGGTGTTTAATTGTGCTTTTCTATTACAGATATCAAGACCAAACAAAACAAAAACAACAGTCACACAGTTTTGGAGTTTTATTAAATAGAGTTGTTTCATCTTTTCCATAATAAATATCAGCATGTCTATTTTCAAACTGCATTTTCAAATGATCTCTTCTCAGGATAAGTCTTTTGCAGATAAAGAAGAGATTGATACAGTTAAATATGTTATTTGCATGCAACTGATTAAATAAAGAATACTTGCTTTCTTATTTCTCTGCAAAGACAGATATCTGTATAATACCTGTACAGTTTTATAGCTCTCATCTTGACCTGGGGACAATTCTCCCCTCCAAAACTATCAATGTTCCTTGTTTTGGATACATTAGAGTTCCAAAAAGGAGGACTTCCGTTCAGAAAGTCTGTCTCCTCTTTCTTCCTCAGCCTGAATGGACTCTACAACTTTATAATAAGTATCAAGAACAAAGCTTTTCTTCAATGAGCATAAAGAAAAGGAAAGAGAAGCCTGAAATATTTGGCTTATTTCATATTATTTTATTTACCTCGATAGAACTATTCTGACTTATGCCATGTTTAAAATTCCTTAACATACTACTGTTGGATTTATTTAATGAAAACTCCAAACTACAAAAAGTTTTTGTGTTAAGGTGAATTATAACATGAGGAGTAGATTTAAATTCTCACCAAATTTCATGCGAATATACTCATATGGATCTTCTTGCCAAAGCTCTTCATCAGCATCTGTATAGCACATCAACGGAAAAATAACATCTTGGATAATTCCCTGCAATTGAAAAAAGTTAAGAGACAATAAGAACTTCTCTACATTCTGACCCATATTTAACACAAACCAGAATTTTGTGCCTTCTATCAGTTTTGATAAAAAATAGTAATACACTGAAATCATCATCCTAGGTACTGCCTTACAGAAGGAAAACCCAGCAAAAGGCAGAGCCACAGTATTGCACAAGCTTAGGTCTGTGTTGGACAACAGCACATAACGATGATTTAAGGGCATAAATTCAGAATCTCTAAATATACTGAATATTTATAATCTCCCAATTTGCTGTGTTATTCTGTTGTATTATATAATCCCTAATAACGAAACATAGAGGACAGACACCAAAACATATAACTCGTAAAATTTTAAAATGGTGCATTTTCAAGTACTTCTCAAACTCTGTTTGGACAGCAACACTACTTTGATGCTTTAAATATACATTGAAAGCACCACTCCAACTATATCATATTTTGGCTAATGGGCTCGTGGTAAAAGACTTTCCCACTAAGAGAGAACAGAAATCAATGACAGTACTTAGAGCACAGAAATAAGCATCTAGAAATAACTGTATCTGCAAAAATTTTTGCAAGAAATTAGTTTGATCCAGAGTAATTAGTCAGTCTTCTTAATGTACCTAAGAATCTTCAAACAGATTTAAACTATTCCCACTAGTTATTTATAAAAGAAACTCAAAAATCTAGAAATACTCCACATTAAACTAATGTACTATTGAGTCATTAAGTATTAAAATGGTTTACTTGAATATGAGGTTTCAGATTCTTCCAGGTGACAGCATGTGACACTCCTTGATTGATGTAATTCAGTGTTTGCTGCAGAACTCTAGGAGCCATGTACTGCTTCTCCTTGTACTGATACAACACCTTCAGCAACACCTAGAATAAACAGATTTAATTAATAGCTTATAACAGAACACAGGTCCTTAACATGAAAAATTCCACCCTCTCACAATCCAACATAATAGTCCTTCAAAATTCAACTAAAAATGTTTACATATATTAGAATAAATGGATGCTAACTTAACTTATCTAAATATCACTGGTAATTTTATCAGCCAATTCTCAGCTCCTATAAGCAGTTGTGCCTGTCTGCTGGACAGGCATCCTTCAAGAACACAATCCTATAATTAGAAGAAACTGTAATGGTAGTTCATCCCTACTGTTGCTTAAGGTGCCTTTCTCCCTTACATTTATTTTGTCTTCTAACTCTTTGAAGGCAGGTACACATGCCTAAACACTAGATTGGTAAAATATTCTCAGGCATTCTAGCAATTTATGCCTATGTGCAGCATTACAGAAGTGACACCAGACTATATACAAATAAGGTCAAACCAGACTCTTCTTTTTGCTTTCTAGCACTTGTTTTTCTGCTGAGGCAAAATTCAAAGCTAATTACAGGGATTTAAAATCATGAAAGATCTTGTTTCTCCATAGATAAATATATAAAATTAATGGAAACATTATTAGTATTTAAATTCCATCTCATTGAAATGTTTGCCATCAATATGCAAGGAGGTTTCCTTGCAATCCAATCCAAGCCAGTGACAACAGCTCTTTACAGCTTATATTATCATACAGGAGGAACCTGTAAGGACTCTAAAACACCACTTGGCAGAAATTTTCTTTAAAGACTTGAATTCCCAGTGCTTCCTAGATACAACAACCAAGGACAAATTTGACTTCATAGAAAATAGTGGGGAAAAGTGCTGGACTATGAATCCTTTTTGAAAAGTTATTTTTCCACACACAGTTTCTCAGTAGTTCGTATTATCTGCAAACAACATAACCAACACTACTGACATCTCAGGAGGAGGGGGACACTTGTTTGGGCAAAACGCTAAGATATTTCCTAGCACTGTGTTACAAATTTCGTGCTCCTTTCAATGTTGATGGCCTTTGGCCACATATATATATTTGGAAAGAGTTTTCCCTACTTTTTCCTTAAAGATTCAGTCCCTTGTTTTCGTAACTGTTTATATTTATAGTTTAATTATCTCCTAATAAGCAAATTTAAGAGTCAATACAAGTATAACATTTTTTACAAAACTAAAGTTTTATGAACAAATTTGTTTCTATAGAAGAGGAGCCAGCAGCACAGCCAGCAACAGCAAACCAAAAATAAGATTTTCCAGATTTTCATAGGAATTTTTCTTGCTGGTTCAAAATATTCCAGTTACTGACTCATAACACATGCCTTCTAAAGAAAGATAAGGTGATAATTATTGCACCACCAATCCATTTCTACCCTTTTCCTGGAGGTTGCTGACATGAGCGAGGGTTGTATCCTGAAGTTACTTGAGTAAAGATAAAGCAAGGATAATTTGGTATTACATTAACAGTCCCGGCTTATGAACTGTCCAATTCCAGGAGACCCCTTGTGTATAACTCAGCTGCTATGTAAGTGTCTCTAGACAGAGATAAGAGTGATAAGTGACCTGACTTATCCGCTTGTATGCTAGTTCCTTGGATGAAGCCTTTATAAAAGGTTAGGGAGTCTAGTACCTATAATCACTGACTTACTGTCAAAAATAACCCCTGTATCTTCTGAACTACCCCTTAAAACTTTTAGCTAAGAGTGTCAACTACACTGCAAATATAACTATCTCTTTCAGAGGGGGAATAAAAAAAAAAAGGTATCTCATCTAAAAACTAATTTATGAGCATATACTCTATTTATAGATTATCCATGCTGCACAGGCTATTTTCAATGGATTGTCCCAGAGTTCACATAAGAAGCTTCTCCAATTTCTTTACTCCCCTGCCTAGACATCAATGCTTCCAGCAATATTCCACTAGCGAAACAAACCAAAAAAAAAACCCAAACAAACAAAAAAAAGGAGTAAGGTTTTCTTCAGAAAATAAGGAAAGAATAAATAAATCATTACTAACTCTACATTTATCCCAATATCCCACACATTCAGAGGTTCTTACTTGCTGAACACCAACTGCAAATGCCTTCAGGAACACTTCAGCAAACTCATTGTACTCCTTGGAAACATTACCAGGACTTCCATATCTAGAATTAGAAAGGAGGAAGGCAAATTCAGGTGGGCAGCAATATGTTATCAACTTTAAGTAATGGAAGAAAAATTACCTCTCAAAAAGTCTAGCCAAGATATGCAAAGCCCACTTCTTGCATTTCCACCAAGGCAATTCAGGTCTATCATCTTCATCAACTTGAAGGGTTTCCTTTAGGGAATAAAAAAAATCTACTTACCTACTATTAATGAAAAGTTCAAAATATGTATTTTATATAAAATTAATAATTGATAACATAGGATATATATAAATATATATAAAGCAACTAGAGAGCATATTTGGCTTTTCCTTTACAGTTTCCTTTACAGTCACATTCCTAGTTTAGCAGAAGTATAAAGTAAAGGAAAACTACAAACCCCATGATACATGCAGCATAAATGCTCATTTCTTTAATCAGGAATCCAAACTAAATCATAATATAACTTGAAAATAGAACTATCATTCAAGTTACATATTTTTTTAAAAATGCCTGTTTAACATCACTATATCTTAATTAGTTTTTTTTCTTTGTACCTATAGAAAAACAATTCAGAAAAAAAGTTAAACTTTCAAAATTGAGAAACTAAAAATACTTAGGCATAAATATTAAAATATCCAAAAGCCACTTACAGCTGGTACATCCCTATCCACAACAGTCTTCAGGATTTCTATCCATTCAGTCAGGTTTTGCTGATTTATCAACTCCAAAGGTAATGTATACTTATTTTTAGAAAGAGGGGAAAAAGGTAAATTAAATTCAGTAGAAAACAATTTGAAAATGTTTATTTCCATTTTCATTTTAGTTCTTTCAAATATTTCTGCATAATTAGCTAACATGAAAGGCAAGCAAAGAATCAAAAAAAACAGTCTGAAGAACACATGTAACCTATTCTCAGTAGTGCTAGAGAGCTCTACTCCAGCTCTCTGATTCTGCCCTGTTAAGAGTGCTTAAAATGGACGTTTCTCTATCACCAGCATATTAACAGTTTCCTTCCAGACTGCCACATTTGCTTGGGCAATTCTATGGAGGCTGACCTCTACAACCTGGCATTAGAAAATTGATTTTGTTTTCTAGCAAACACTCGTGCTTAGAAGTTGGCATGCGTAACTTCTGTCTAATGCTTGACTAGGGAAAAGTGTAGTATTGATTTCGCAGCACAATCATACCAAAACTCTGCTATTCACATCACAGTTGATTAGCAGTGGAAAATGACTCAGGTGTAACTTAACACCTAATATTTCTACTATTTACTACTTTAAGGAAAAATAGTAGTGCTTCAAATTCAATTACTAACCAAGAAAATGTGAGATTTATTTTTACCTGGACAAGTGCATAAAATATTTTAAAGATCTGTTTCTGGATGAGGACAGACTGATCAGATGGATCACTCAGGAGCTGAATGAAACTGTCCTTCAGCACCGGTAGAAAATGTTGCATCGCAGCTATCAAAGGACTCCGCTCCTCTGGTTTCTTGTACCTTTAGACAAGACTAAAATTAGTCCTACAGTCCATAAGACCATAAGATTTCAAAAACTCTACTAACACCTTGTCATAGAACTTGGACATGGATCTGTAGCCACACTGTGGCAATATTTTGATAGTAATGTAGGGAATATTACTATCAAAAAGCAAGTTAGAAAAGTGCTCAGCTCCCATGATTGTGCTATAGATCTGCATTGGTCTTCTGCTGGTAATGCACTCCTGCGGACTGACTTTGAATACTGCACACCATGATCTGCCACACCATTACTATGGTGAAATGCAATGAAAGCACTATAAAAACTGCAGGCAAAAGCTCTACAGCTATAGCCAGGAGGGGCAGATATTGGGCTAACTGGTAAAATTCCAAAAAGGCATTTAAGATGAATTGCATTCTGATTTTTTTTTTTCCTCTTTCTTTCTCCAGAAATGGAATAAAGGAAGATGAGAGGTTGTTCCAACATCCTGCTACTTCCATTTGCCCAAATCTAACAATTTGACAGAGAATGAAAGCTTTGAAGCTCTGAGAGAGATACAGGATAGCCTTTTATTTAAAAAGAGATCTTAACTCCTCAGATCTTAACGTTCAAGAGGAAAGTCCATAATGATTCTAGGTCCTAATGCAGCAGACGAGACTAGGATCTAACCTGTAGCTGTGAGGCCAGTAAGGCCTTGTTCTTTGTAAGAACAAAGTAATTACCACTAAGATTGGAATGTACAACTCTATTTTAGTAATTAATGCTTTAGCATTCTTGGCTCTTGTGGGAGGGTTGTTTTGTGTTTTGTTTTTCCAAAAATGCATTTTTGATAGACTTTCCACTAATAATAAACATCAGTGCTTAGTCTTCTAATAGCACCAATGTGGAGAAACATACAGTGAATGCTATACAGCCTCCTGCCAAATGGCATGTTCTGCTAAAACCACTACAGAATATAGAGCTCCAAAATCTTGTTCAAATAATGCAGTTGCCAAATATTTGCTGAAAACAGAAGCCTATATAGGAAGATTAAGTGTTGCTCAATAAAACTCAAACCCTAATTATCCCAATACATGTAACTGGGGAAAAAAATAAGGAAAAAACGGAAAAAAAGATTCTGCAAAGAGCCATTTGAACTTGTTCATTGGAACTGTAGAAAAGCTAACACTATGTCCCAACATATTTGCCTTCCACATTACGAAAAATTGGAGGAAGGAAGGTAGAGGACAAGAGAGCTTTTTACAGTATAACCCAAGCAGCAACAACCTGACTCAAGTCAGAACATTATGCAGAAATACTTTCCTCCAAAAGGCATGGATTTGAGGCCTGCTTACACTTGTATTGTCATTCAATTAAGCAAGCCTGCGTGCACACAACTTGCAAAGCTGACCCATATTGACCTCACTAGAAAAATTAATCAAGTACAACAGGTTGCTGGCCTCAGCTCAAGTGTCTGATGGGCCAAGATTGCAGACAAAGCTAGTAACTATCCTTAAGCATGTGATGGCTGAGCTTTTATCAAAATTCTTCCTTAAATAAGGATTAGAAACATTTCATGTTTTATATCTCATAGAACTCCTGCTGTGCATTCATACAAAACCATTTTGAAAACCAAATGCGAAATTACAGTCTATTTTCCTTTCCTAGCAGGATTTGTGGCTTTCAACACCAGAAAAGACTCAAATGCATTATTATGGTCTTTACATCACTTCTATAAATAAGCATTTTTTTGAGGCACCAGTTTTCATTTATCTTGCAGTAATTTATATGCAATTCATGAAATTAGGTGAGCAATGGAAGTGTTCAATACAACATTTTAAATAAAGTACTGGAAACAATGTTGAATACAACAGTGTTTCAAGAGATTATTAGGTTGTAGACTCCCTCCAGCTGCAGAAGCACAACTTCCAGACTCTAGTATGGAGTACAAATGTTCTTTAAGAGGCTAACTTTAGCTCTAAAATAACCATTTTTTGTAAACATGATGGTTTTGAGCACACATTTTTTATTACTAGGCACTTATATTAGTATGCCACTTCAATTCATTTAAAGCAACTACTAAATTAGGTCTTTAAAGGTACACTTTTTTTTTTCCTGTTCTAAAACCTTTACTGAAAGCTTTTTTCTAAACTTTCTTGGAGACAATGTATAGAACAGCTGCCTGCACAGAAACTGTATAACAGTAAGTACTAAGTTTGAACTTCCATCACCTTTGCAAACTCCAACATACAATTTTACACTAGAATGTACATACTGAATACAAGAAATGCAGAAGAAGGAACTCACTCTATTATAAACTGGTAAAAGAACTTACTCATAGTTTTTCACAAGTTGATAAAGACAGAGAAGAATTCCAAGCCAACAAGCACTGTTGTCAGACTGAAGATAAAAACCAATTTTCTCCACAACTGCAGTCCAACGACTAGGGTAATCATGCTTGATAATATGGTGAATGCAAGTAGTAAGTTGTACTCTGAAAATCAAATGCATAATGGTTAAATTAACTCCTATTATTTTAACAAGCTTTTTGTGGTGATGAAACAGCTAATTTTGACTGAATTTAGACTTATTCCAAGCTAATCCCCCTACTTCAGCTTCTGCACTTTGTGTATTATTCTCCATGTGAGGAACTTCACTAAAAAGAAGCATCAGGGAGTTCATTTTGCCTTTAACGGACTTTGTATTAGTAGATTTTTATATGCTGCACATACAGAAAACTTTTTTCTGTCTAAACTACTTCCAGGCTTTTGATACATACTGCCACACAACAGCGTTCAACAGTAATACTCCAAATGTAGATGATGTTAGTTAAGAAAAAGGTCAGGAAGCACAATGAATTTGGAAGCTGCTTAAAAGCATGTACCTAATCAACTCAGGAGAGTGAATAATGGCTTCTACGATATTTTCACGAATACAGTGTCTGTCTTCTTCTGGGATGGAGTAAGGTGGAATCTCTCCTGGTGCAGCTTCCCGATCAGGCCAATACTGGGTTATCATATTTTTCAAGTAGATAACACCTGTCAGATAAAAGCATCAAAACAATCAATAGCCATGCAGAGTACAAATGATCACTCATTCTGCAGATGAATCTATTTTAAAAACAAATGTATTGACACAAGCAACTGCACTGGCCAATTCTAACAAGGAGAATAAAAACATATTAAAATAATCAAATTAACCTCGTAATTTACCATATTACTTTTTTGCATTTATTATGACACCTACTTCATCAGTTCTGTAAAGAATGTGTTTCAGTATGAAAATACTAAATATTTTGCTTTAATCTTATTGATTAAAAAAGCTTATGAATCTTTTAGCAACATACATGTGAAGAGCTGTTCATAACTGTTTTCATTAAAACAAAGCTAACAACTTTGTAAAATACTCCTTTTACTGTAAAAGCAAAAAAAAGTGATTGTATTTGGGATATAAAAGGTAACATTAGAGAAACAGAGCTGCTCTACGCCAAGATTACAGGCCACAGCTCTTTGCAGCAATCAGTTTGTTGGCAGAAGCGCCTGCTTTTACCATTTGTCAACCCAGTCCAAACTGCTTATGTGGCAGAATATGGATTACGGGCACTCGAAAAGGATTTACAAAACACAAAAGGAAAATGTAAATTACAAATAAATTTGTAGCAAATCTGCTATTAATCTAATTCTGTATACCAGTCCATAAACTGAATTCTCTTCCCCAAATTCTGCATGCAGTTATTTCTACCACCACATAATTCAGACACCATTCCCCTACAGTTCTGCTCATGTGGAAATCAGGCAGAAAGCAACCTTTTCAGCAGTTAGCATGCTCAATCAAGTGTTTGTGTATGCTGCTTACAAAATGAAATTCTCCTCAACAATGCTTCCTTAGCTCTTCTCCCATTTTCTGCAGCTGAGAACCACCCTCCTTCCTCAAAACAATCTGAGCTACAGAAGAATTCATACGATGATCCAAGTCCCAGAAATGCAGATCAGAGGTTGATTAGTTTTAACTTAAAACTAAAGGATAAAAGACCAAAAGAATCAGAAACCTCAAATTAAAAAAATTTTTTTTTTTTTTGAATGCGAGTCATTCAATTTCTGGTTAAAGCATAGTCACAATTATTCACTATCCTGCAAAAAATAAGAAACACTCAGCAGATATGCGCCAGGACAACATTTAACCAATGCAGACTACAAGTTTGTCCTCCGTGGAGTTTATCAAGCCACGAGATGCTTTCCAAAACACGCACTGTTTGTTAACTATGAGTTATATCAGTTAGCTTCACTCTCTACAGATTGCTTCATCTTTTATTCAGCTTACGTTGAAAGTAAATTCAGGTTTTTTTTTCCCTAAAATTCCTTTTTAAAATATGTAGACTCTTGACACTTCTAAAAGCTATCTGAAACAATAAGATAAAAATGTAAGCTAGGCTCATGTTACAAACTAGAATAGTTTACTAGATGGAAGATCCAAGTCTAAGACCTCATCATCTGAACTGCCAGAAACCCAAGTATTGTGTTAGAAATCTCTATCAACTGACTCTAGTAGCTTTAAGGTAACTGGTAGGAATTGCCAACATTCAGCATCCAGCTTTGCTGATGACTCGTGCAAGTGAGCATGGTCCCACATGACAGAGTCTAGCTGTAATATTTGAAAACTACTGCAGAAGTACAAGTATTTGAAACCATTGAAATTGCCAGTACAAGGTTAAACTACCTCCCAGAGTCAAGCATGTGCTCATGATAAAGTAAACAGCTTGCCCAAAGACCTCACTCACTAGAGATAAAGGGCAGCCACCACTGACTAGTCAGCTACACTTTGCTTTGTACCACCCTTATTCAGTGCACAGTGCCAGATACAGCTTGTGACTAAGACTGTAATTCTGACAGTTTCTAGCTTTTAAGTGTTAGTGATTACTACCATAAGTTTTCTTTAAATTGCAGGGGCATATGTACTTGAGTGCATGCATAATTAAAGTGTATACAATGAAACAAGATTTGAATACTTGCCTGCCTGCCTCACTGGTAAATCCAGTTGCTCGGACATAGTGATCTGAAGCAGAGTTGAAACAAAGTTCACTGACTTATGAGCCTGAAGAGAAAAAAAAAAGAACATTATTTAGTCAGTTTATCTAATTTTATTTTTAGAACCCTCCTGTAAGTTTTGCCATATTTGTATAACGATGTAGTACAACCCATGCAATTCCAGCAATTCAAATGATGTTACAGTTCTTCTCTAGTAAAAGAAAACATGACAAAATCTTGTGCTCATTGTACAGCAAGGAAACACGGTGGCGATGGTGAAGTCCTGCTTCTTAAGATTTGGAGGTGAAGAATTCACTGAACAGGCTTCAACACTCAGTCTTTCACAGTCACTAAAGTTCTTCATTAAGAAGAAATTATTGAAAGAAAAATATCTAGATAGCTACAAAACCCCAAGCATTGCAATTTTACACTGTGACCTTAAACATTATGCGAATTCATTCTACATTAACCTAAGCACCAGATAGCAACTATGTTTAAAAACTAAGCTCTGTCTTAACCAAGCATATCCAAGCCACAGTTCATCTACCTGACAAAAATGGCTTCAAACGACCATCAACGTGTTATTGAAGTAACTGTTGGGATTACTCTGTAATGGCAAAGCAACAGCACAGAGAGACAGTGACAAGTTTGCAAGGATTTCCCCAGAGTTCACTTAAAGCACAGAATTATTTTTTTCTACAATAACGAGAAGTGATACACTAAATGTTCTATTTTATATTCAGTAGTAGAATATTAACATTACTACTGCTTTTTACACCTTTTCCATTACTACACCTTTACTCTTGTTTCATAAACACCAAATTAAACAAGAGACTAAAGTAACACTAATTTTTAAAGTAGTCTTATATCTTCTATGTTTCAGGAAGTAATGTTGTCTTCTTCAATGCCAAGAGGCAACAGACAAGCCACAGCATGGAAAATTCAGATTTTACAAAAGGAAAAGTCTTTTCAATAACACTGGTCAAGCACCAGAACAAGCTACCCAGAAAGGCTTTGAGATAAATGCATCCTCTGAGACACTCAGAACTCAACTGGATAAGGCTCCTTATCCAGCTTCAAAATTGTTCTTGCTTTGGAGCATTAGAGCAGGCAATCACCAGGGATCCCTTCTAACTTAAATTACTCCAAGATTACTCCAGGATTCAAATCGCCCAGATACATTTCCGCCTTCTCTAATTTACCGATATGGTTTCATATGATCTTTGCAGCCCATGAATCAAAGTGAATTTCATAGGTGTAAGCTTCCTAGGAAAATATATCTTGCCTACTTAAGAGTTTATTGCTTCCTGGATTAAATAAATTAGTATTCTGAAAACCATTAAAATAACAATATCTAACCAAAAATAATGTCTCGGTTCTTGCGAGCAAGGTAAATTAATGTCAGGAGAAACAGACCACCAGAAGTTATCATTCCCTTCTTCTTCTAGGAAGGCTGAGAACTCTCTTGTCCGTATCAGACGATGTCAGCATCCCTCCCGAGCCCGGGAAGGGCCAGCGACCTCCTGCGCTACCAGGTGTTTCCCTCCAACCTCACCTTCCACCAAGGACTTCCTAAACATGGTGATGTGGCTGTATGTAGAAGGGACCACATAGGACTTGTAATTCCTCTGCATATTTGTAATGAATTCTGTTTAATACAGCTTGTCTCCTAATGAACCTCTTCTCATTCAAAACTAATTTTAAATGAGCTTTACTTTTAAATATCTCCCCAAGATGCTAAAACGGTGTTTCGCATATTCACCATGCACACTGAAAATCCAGACTACAGAAAGCTACAAAAGCAACACTAGCACCTGCTGCAACCGAAATGTTTATTTGCAGAGCAGGCCTTGATGAACTGGGAGTAACTGATACTGCAATATGAGTGTGCACCTTTCTGACCTACATCTCACTGATAACCCCAGTGCTCTGAGAAGGAGACAGATCCTCAAATGAAAGTGATTATTTTGAACTGTCAAGGAAATGGTAGAATAAAAAAAGCTTTGAATAAAATTGTATGAATCAACTGGTTCCTTCTCTACTTGGAGAGCATACTTATCTTTGAGCAAGTACCAAATGACATTACAGTCAAATTCAGCATGGTACTCCATTACGTGCCTAACATTAATATCAATGAAAGTGTTCCTGTGCTTGAATGTGTTATTATGAACTTGCTGAAGCAAGATTTCAGCTTCAGTAACCTTTAACTCACCTATGAGCAATGTCATATTACAGTCTACGTAAGAAGAACTTAAAATTGTGAATTTATGTCTTTCCACACTAATGTGATAATTTTCAACGTATTTCATGTTTGGAATTGAAAAAGATTATAATGTTATTTAATCCTAGGATTTGGAAAATGAAGGATTCTTCCCCTTTTTCTGTGCAATTCACAATTATCCCTAAAATTAATGCTGCTATAACAGATCTGATTCAATGAAACTCATGGAAATGGCTTATATACTACCAAGAAACTAAAGAGAAGGACTTATTAGGAATAAGTCTCATACACAAAAAAAGTGCTTTAAAGACAAAAAAATGAAAATTAGACAACAATGTGGAAAGAAAATGCCATACACTGATGTTTAATACTATCAATAAAGAATAATCTTTCCTTCATTAAAAAAAAAGACTGAGACTACAATTGTAGTAAGCTGCAGAAGCTCCCTAAAATGTTCGTTACATTAGTATGTGGAGCTAATACACTTCCCCTGGATTTTATGAGCTATACTGAATTTGAAAGGACAAAACCACATCATTTATACCATCATCCTGCTTTTCTAATACCTTACACGTAGCAGCCATATGAGCATTGTGAACACCAGCCACCAAATTGATGAGGAAGGTGAGCCACCTTATCAGCTCTGAAGTGGTTTAGAGTCAAGATTCAGACTAGATGTGATCTTACTCTAAGATGATGTCTAAGATAACTTGTACTTTTCAAATATGACACCTCTTAATCCATTCAGTTCACAACTAAATTCAGACAGCTACGTATGACTTCTACATATTCTTTGTGAAACATAAAGGATTCCCCAACCACTGTATGGAATCTATATTTCCCAAATGTGAAGAGGAGTAAGGACTACTACTACAATTTAGGAAGGTACACGCGTACTGTGAAGTCAAATTAAACCCCAGATCCTACAAAAACTGGTTACTTGCTCCCTCTCAAACTGAAATCAAATTAAAAGTTAGCAGGTAAGGCAAGATTCTCCTGGTATTCAGACACAACTTTAATGTGAGAATCACCACATATGTGCAGAATCTATAACTGTAGCATAAAAGTTACCAAATGCACGTCAATTTTAGCCATTTACATCTTTAGAATTGTCACCTTCCAAAGATGCTGGCCTCTCGGGACATAACGATCCTGTTCACTGACACTATCGTTAAAAAACGTTCTATTATAGGTACTTATTCTATAGAAAAAAATGGTTTTTGTTTCAAGAGCACACGATCAACCAGGATACACGCTTTAAGACAAGGTGAGCTGCAAGTGAAGATGTAGTGACCAACAACAGCATGTGCAGGGTTCTGCTGTCATCCAGGTGCCCGCGTCCTCAGCAGGGTCACACGTGCTGCTGCCACCTAAGTGAAAGCTCCTGGCAAGGACCATCACTCTACAGGGTACCCGTGGCTCCAGCAGGCAAGAATTAAAGCCAGGACCACACAACAGCTTCTATTACATAGTATAAAGTGCACAGAGAACAAAAACTATTTCTATGACTCTGAAGTTTTGGCATCAGGAAAACTTTATACCTTATTTTCCTTGTTAACAGATTTGCAATACATATATTATACATGTAGATACATAAAAAAAAAGAACTGCAGTAATTGACTGCAGCAGCACTACTTTTTTCCAGAGCCTATTTCCTGACACGTAACTCAGTATTTAATAAAAAAACCCAAAGTCTTTTCCCCTTACAAACGCTCCAACTTGCCGTGTCACTAGTATGACTTTGTTGTCTACAAGCCAAAGAATCCAGGGACTTTTCCCAGGAGTAATCTTTGCTATGCAGCCTTACTTGCCGAGGAATGTATTCTATCAGACCACAAACGTTGCACCACTGACTGCTAATATCAATCAGTTTTCTAGAGCATACAATCTTTGGGCAAATTTCATTGCATTTTTTCCTAGCAGAGCTCGTTTCTTAGCTATATGCTAAAAAACAATTTTATTATGACACAATTGTCATGCGAGCTATACATTCTGAAGTTTGAAGGAAATATTAAAAAGACCGAAGTATGGCACACAACTACCAACCGTTAACTAATTATGACACTCAAAAGCATCATTCCCACTAATGACATCCACTGAAGTCAATTATGCTCATCTTTCATATCAGAATTAATATTTTACATAAAGCCTTTATCCTGATAAAGGATAAAAACAAGCAGCTTCATCTCATGTAGAAAGACCTTCATGTGTTCTTAACATGTTAAGGATCTAACATACTATAACAAACACTCCTATCAGTATCTCTCCACATGTTACAAAAAAAGTAAATCAGAAGTACTGAGGCATTTACTAAATACTTAACACAGACTATTTATACAAAAAAATCAAATTACTACACACTTAAATAGAAATTACAGTTTAGTTAACAAATAAAAAATACTAATTCAGTATATCTTCTCCAGCCCAGTTTTGAAAAGTCTGCGCAGAGTATTTTATCTGTCCCATAACAGTGTTAGGTAAACACAACTACTACACGGAGATAAAACAGATCTGTTTTCTTATAGGAAGGTAAGGCCAGGAACTGGAAGGCAATGCTGAATCAGCATTTCACTTCTGTTTTAGGAACTCAGCAGGTGTGGAAGTCATTCTGACCTCAGGTTTTTGCAAGCCAGTTCTACCACGTCTCGTGCGGCTAAATTTTATATGTAAAATCAAACTTAGGGCCCACAAAACTACATAGTTGCCCATCAGTTCTTGCAAATATCTGATGTTCATTTCATCAAAATACTGCCTGCTAGTTCTGCAACCTATTAGTTCATCTGTTTGCAGAGGAAAAGGAATTGTGCTCTTAGCAAAAGCCAGCTAAGCACAGGCAGTTACTATTTGCTTAGTCATGAGAAAGTGACAAGTTGCCCAGTCTCTGATAGGATTTTACCTTGTGCTGGATAACATGAATCAAGAATGTAACTTCTTCCTAAGGAAGACAAAGCTCCTTTGGTTCCTTACTGCCCCCAAGGGGATTTCTGGTGTTGGACCAGCTTTGAAACATACAATTTTCAAACCTATTCCCACCACATCTTTCGTCTAAAACATAATAAAATACATAAAGGGAAAAGAAAGGAAGTGAAAATAAGGGAAGTGAAAACAGTCAAGTATTTAGTCAAATGTCATGCTAACTTCAGAAAGAAAAATAATGCGTGATCTGAAAATCAGACAAAGCCTGAAAGGTACTTTTTCAGTAGAGCAGGAGGATAATAGCTTTCTAAACAAGCTGCTAAAGTCTGACTTACAAAAAAAGTTAAGAGGCACCTTTTTGTTTGGGTTTTTTTTTTTTTTTTTTTTTTTTTGGTTTCTTTTAAGGTACAGAATTCAGGTAGGTATTCTGATAGGATGCCTCAGTAGCTCCTGTGCCTAGTGATTAATCACAAAATTTACATAATAGCTAAACTTCTTTGTGTCTGTATGGGTGCATATATGTATATATACATATACATACACCACACATACCTTTATATAAAGCAATTAAAATACATTATCAATAACTCTCTGGAACTACAATGTAGAAACCTGCAAGGCAAGAACAGTCTTGTCTACCAACGACATCTTTATAAATATGTTGATATTAAAAGATGAAACAACGCTGTGTATTATTTTCAGAGCGTCATTCCACAGCTGCATAGTTAAAAATATCTATTCTCATCACCATTTCTGGTTAACACTTTCTGTGCACTGCAAAGACTGGTTCCAAAGGCAGTAAAGACTTAGGGCTACTTTCCAGGCACTTACTTCATGTGTCTGGTTCTAAGCCCCTGTAAAACATCTTTCCTCTGGAAGAGAGACACAGAGAGGGGCAAACACCCAGCTCCTAAGGACACGCGCTCAGCTGGAAAGAAGCTCTGGACACAAAGGCCAGCAGTGTCATTCCCTGTAATTTATTTTTCTAGTGAGGAAAGTAAAACGAAAGAAATTAAGAACCTTGACACCCGCATTTTTATTTTAGCACCTCTCAAGTCAGAAAGTTCTCACAGCATCTTAACACTCTGCCGGCAGAACTCGATAAAATTTGGTGAAAAAAAAAAAAAAAAGAAAAAAGCACAGAACAATTAATGATTTCACCAAGGTCAAAGAAGGATTAAGGAGGTCTGGACAGATCAAAAAAATATACGTCCCAGGACCTTTCTCCAGCCTTTCGAAACTGTTGGTTGACAGGATATGATGAAGACAGAACTTGATGGTTAACTGTACTACTACTTAGAAATATCAATTATTGACTGAAACACATTCTCTTTTCTGATAAGCTAAAATAATCACTCTAATGAAAACTAGCCTCACCAGCCCATCAGAGGCACAATAAAAGGTCATTCAGGAACAAATATTAAACTTAAAATTATAAAAATGCTTCTGCGCCCCTGCTCACTTGCAAGAAGGCTGTTCACAGCTATATGCTATTGAGCATTTGAAACAAAATATTAAATGAAAACACAATTGCTCTCATAGGTAACGAATTTAGACCAGCATCCTGCAAAACAGAAGCACAACTGACTTGATTACGACTATCCAAAACCAAAACCACACACAAATGAAACTCCACGTGTACAGTGTGCTGATTTAGAGTTTAATGGATTTTTATCACAAAAGTCCCGCGAAAGATCAGCGAAACTGTAAAGAATTTTTACACACTGATTCACTAATAGCTGGTGTTTTCAAGGATGCACAGATATTTGGACTTACATATCACTTTACTGCTTCTTTAGTACACAGTAAATAGACTATCATATTTTCATCCAAAAGCATAAAGAAAAAAACCCCTCAGTTGGAGGCGAGCAAAATCCTTTGCTGAGGAGCCCCAAAGGCAGCAGTGCAACTTCCCGGGCACTCAGCAACTCAAAACCTGCAGGAAACAGCTAGAATAGATTTGAAGCAAGTTACTATGTGCAGATGCATGCAATGTGCACACACAGACACACAAGAAAAAAAGCATTTCAAGGAGTTTAAGTTGTTACATGCACGTGATTCATCTTTGCAGACAAACACATTACTTTTGACTTAAATAAGAAACATTCAAAAGCTCTGTAAATAAGGTATACATAGAAGAGAGCAAATTGCTTGAAACACACCGGATTCAGTCCCCGAGGAGCTCTACAGCCGTTCGTTTCAAACGCACCCAACACATTTGCTACTCACTTACTACACGGCTTGCAGGAAAGCAACTTAACCGCCCTTCTCCACGGGAAACGGCGCGTTCCGTTTCGGGGAGTCGCACGCGCGGGGCGCGGGGCGGCCCGCGGGACAGGCCGGGCGGCGCCGGGGGGGCC